CAGGGTTTTGGTGAACATGTGTTCCATAGGAGATTATCTCCAACAGTGTTGGTTGCTCACTGTTATGAAGCTTCACCTGACACAAGGAAGCTTTATGCTACTTACTTAAAACAGAACACACTCAACATCAGCCATGGCAAATTACTACCTCAGGGGGTATTTGTGTATTATTTATTCAGCAGTGAACGACCCATAACTATTCAGCAGTTATCTACAGACTCTGGACTAGGCACTGAGACATACTAGCATATATGACAAAGACTTACTACCATTTTCAAGGACGTTGTCATAGTGAACAATACATACAAGTCAACAGCCAATGACAACACAGTTGATAAATTTAGGAGAGTCATCTTATTTAGAGTTGGGAGTTGCAGAAATCATTCTTGGAGGATGTTTCATTTAAGTTGAAAATGGAAAAAGAGTGAATGTTAGCTGGTCAAACGAGGATGTGAGTCAGAATCAATAACGTGGAAAATAAAAAGGATGAACAACATGTGCAAACATTGGGGTTAAGAGAGATACCAGCATGTTTTAAGGATTGAAAGATCAACCAGCCTTGGATGCTAGGGTTCAGGGTGGGATGTGGAGAGAAATGAAGTTATAGGATTAAACAGCTCCAATAGGTGAGGAGTTTGCAATGTATGCTAAGGTCCTTAGAGTTAAGGTAGTTGGCTCACATAACACCCATCCCAAGCTTATTTTTTCTTGTCTTATTTTTCCATTATGACTGGAAAATTAAAATACAGGGAGCTAATAGTATGTTTTAATTGTGAGAGTTAATGTTTTTGTTTTAGAATGATTATTCCAGCTCCTTTGTGAAAGCTGCTTTCAAGGGGGATGAGAGTACCTTTGAGAAAAATAAAAGTGTTAGAAATCTAGGTGGGAAGTGATAGTAACTGGTGTATGTCTAAGACATTCATGTTGGAGAGACCCAGGTAGATCTGAGAAGGACTTAAGGGGGAATGTTAACTGGTGGTTAGAGATACAAAGCAACTGACAGATTTGTGGCTTGAATCAGTGGGCAGAATAAATATTTGGTCTAAGTGTTTATTTCTCTAAATAATACATGTGTTAGAAATCTTTTTCATATTTTTGAATGATTCCCTTAAACTGTCAGATAGTTTTCTCAGTTTTTCCTGAGTTTTCAAGCATGACTATAGAGATTTGAAGCTCCAGGAATACTTGAAATCTCTAATAGAAAACTTGTCATTTTCCTGACTTGGGAATGATCCTGTTCCCTTTGCCACGAAAACAAAGTGTTCAGAGGTAGTTTTGGAAAGAATTTTGCACATTAGCCAATACCTGGAGTTGAGATTATCTAAGACATTTAAGTTCTGAGAACTCAGTCATGAACATCCTCACTGTCCAGAACAACAACAGGAAGAGTGAAACTGGCAAAGTTCTCACTGTTTCCTAGTCCTCATCCATTCCCTGGGCCTCTGGCCAGTAGCCTGTTTGCAACCCAGCCCATACCTGAGCTCTGGTCCACAAGGCTGTGACTTCAATAAACTTTATTTGGGCACAGGAGAGAGTGAATGGAGTTGAGCATCCACAGAATTGTGAGGTGAAGAGGTGGAGTAAATTTCTAGTTTACATTATTTTCCCTAATACATATAATAGATGATTCAATTTCTGCTTTTTTTTTTTTGTAATTCAATTTTTTTTTTCTCTTTTGAAATTTTTATTTTGTGTTGGAGTATAGTCAGTTAACAATGTTGTGATAGTTTCAGATCATTCAATTTCCTATTTCTTCCTTTTTTACTTCCACAGACATAGGCACAAATGGCTTTTCTGTTTTCCAGGGAAAGATAGAGCTTTCTTGGTGGTTCAGGTGGCAAAGAACCTGTCTGTAATGCAAAAGACCCAGGTTCAATTCCTGGGGTTGGAAGATCCCCTAGAGAAGGAAATGGCAACCCAATCCAGTATTCTTGCCTGGAGAATCCCATGGACAGAGGAGCCTGATGGGCTACAGGTCGTAGGATCACAAAGAGTTGGACATGACTGAGAGACTTTCACTTTCTTTTTTTTTTTTTTTCAGAGAGAGAGAATGACAGAGTGTGAGAGAGAAAAATCCGATGTAACCAGATAAGCACAGATAAAGAAACCAATGGTCTTCTCTCTATATAGAACTATAAAACACTAATGAAAGAAATGAAAGATGACACAAATAGATGGAGAAATATACCATGTTCATGGCTCAGAAGAATCAATATAGTGAAAATGAGTATGCTACCCAAAGCAATCTATAGAGTCAATGCAATCCCTACCAAGATACCAACAATATTTTTCAGAGAGCTAGAACAAATAATTTCACAATTTGTATGGAAATACAAAAAACCTTGAATAGCCAAAGCAATCTTGAGAAAGAAGAATGGAACTGGAGGGATCAACCTGCCTGACTTCAGGCTCTACTACAAAGCTACAGTCATCAAGACAGTATGGTACTGGCACAAAGACAGAAATATAGATCAATGGAACAGTATAGAAAGCCCAGAGATAAATTCACGCTCCTATGGACACCTTATCTTTAACAAAGGAGGCAAGAATATACAAAGGAGAAAAGACATTCTCTTTAACAAGTGGTGCTGGGAAAACTGGTCAACCACTTGTAAAAGAATGAAACTAGAACACTTTCTAACACCATACACAAAAATAAACTCAAAATGGATTAAAGATCTAAATGTAAGACCAGAAACTATAAAACTCCTGTAGGAAAACATAGGCCAAACAGTCTCTGACATAAATCACAGCAGGATCCTCTATGACCCACCTCCCAGAGTAATGGAAATAAAAGCAAAAGTAAACAAATGGGACCTAATTAAACTCAAGAGCTTTTGCACAACGAAGGAAACTATAAGCAAGGTGAAAAGACAGCCTTCAGAATGGGAGAAAATAATAACAAAGGAAGCAACTGACAAATAATTAATCTGGAAAATATACAAGCAACTCGTGCAACTCAATCCCAGAAAGATAAACGACCCAATAAAAAAATGGGCCAAAGAACTAAACAGACTTTTCTCCAAAGAAGACATACAGATGGCTAACAAACACATGAAAAATGCTCACCATCACCTATTATCAGAGAAATGCAAATCAAAACCACAATGAGGTACCATCTCATGCCTGTTAGAATGGCTGCTATCAAAAAGTCTACAAACAATAAACACTGGTGAGGGTTGGAGAAAGGGAACCCTCTTATACTGTTGGTGGGAATGCAAACTAGTACAGCCACTATGGAGAACAGTGTGGAGATTCCTTAAAAAACTGGAAATAGAACTGCCATATGACCCAGAAATCTCACTGTTGGGCGTACACACTGAGGAAACTAGAATTGAAAGAGATACTTATACCCCAATGTTCATCACAGCACTGTTTACAAGAGCCAGGACATGGAAGCCACCTAGATGCCCATCAGCAGATGAATGAATAAGCAAGCTGTGGTATATATATATAATGGAATATTACTCAGCTACTAAAAAGAATATTTTAGAATCAGTTCTAATGAGGTGGATGAAACTGGAGTCTATTATACAGAGTGAAGTAAGTCAGAAAGAAAAACACCAATATAGTATATTAATGCATATATATGAAATTTAGAAAGATGATAATGATGACCCTATATGTGAGACAGCAAAAGAGACACAGATGTATAGAACAGACTTTTGGACTCTATGGGAGAAGGCGAGGGTGGGATGTTTTGAGAGAATAGCATTGAAACATGTATATTATCATATGTGAAATAGATCACCAGTTCAGGTTGGATGCATGAGACAGGGTGCTCATGGCTGGTGTACTGGGATGACCCTGAGGGATAGGATGGGGAGGGAGGTAGGAGGGGGTGTTTAGGATGGGGAACACATGTGCACCCATGGCTGATTCATGTCAATGTATGGCAAAAACCACTACAATATTGTAAAGTAATTAGCCTCCAATTAAAAAAAAAAAAAAGAAACCAATGGTCTTCATCACTCAGTCCAGGTCTACACTGCCTGCCTGGGGGTGCAGCCTCTTTGTGACACCTGGGCCCAGGATAAAAAAACTCCCTCATAAGGGAAAAGACTGATGCTATAGACATAGCACTCACTGAGTAGGGCGGCAGCCCTCTTCCAAGTCTCTAGGCCATTCTTGCTTTGTTGCACACCTAGAAGTTGAGAGTCCCTTTGAGAATTACAGAGCTCTGGGTGGATGGGAAGCCCATGGTGAGGAAGAGTGTGGAGAAGGGACAATTTGTGGGGATAGAGGCGAGCATCATTCTGTAGCAGTAGCAGATCACTTTTTTGGGGGAGGGGTGATCTTTGATAAGAACTAGACCTAAAGGAAATCAAGCTTGAATATTCACTGGAAGGACTGATGCTGAAGCTGAAGCTCCAGTACTTTGGTCACCTTATGTGAAGAGCTGACTTGTTGGAAAATACCCTGATGCTGGGAAAGATTGAAGGCAGGAGGAGAAGGGGACAACAGAGGATTAGATGGTTGGATGACATCATCGACACAATGGACATGAGTTTGAGCAAACTCCAGGGGACAGTGAATGACAGGGAAGCCTAGCGTACTGCAGTCCATGGGGTCACAAAAAGTCAGACATGACTTAATGACTGAACAATAACAATAGTCTTGGTAGGAGATACTGGAGATGTGAACATGTGGGACTTTGTGTTGTCATCAGAAGAAATGTCTGTTATCATGGAACTTCAGTCTTGATGTCTTGGGCTGGGCGCTGCCAATATATGGGGTTCACAGTGGAATGTTCTCCAACCCCAGCTGCAGTCCTGGAGCTATGACCCCGTCTGACAGCAGCAGTCCTGAGCGTACCTACTGGAGCTGACACCTCAGCAGTGTCCTGTCTCTGGCTGAGGAATTTTTGCTTTAAAGCTGGTCACTGTGAACACTGGACTGCCTTTCTCTGCTCTTCATTAACATCACAAATGCACATTTCTTCTTAAGTGAAAGGTAGTCTATATGTTGTGTTTTTTTTTTTCCCAGAAGGAATCAAAATTATGGAATTTATTTTTTACATTGGGAAGGACTTTAGACATAATCCAGCATCCTTATTGTATTGGTTTTCTATTACTGCTGTGACAAATTATTACAAATCTAGTGGCTTAACACAGTACCAATGCAAATTTATTATTTTTAAAAAAATTATTTATTTACTTATTTTTAGCTGTGCTGTGTCTTTGTTGCTGGAAGGGCTTTTCTCTAGTTATAGTAAGCAGAGGATACTCTGTTGCAGTGCTCAGACTTATTACATTGGCTTCTCTTGTTTTGGAGCATGGGCTCTAGAGCATGTGGGCTTCATTAGCTGCAGCTCCCAAGTTCTAGAGCACAGGCTCAATAGTTGTGGTGCAAGGGCTTAGTTGCTCTGCAGCATGCAGGATCTTCCTGGATCCGGGATCAAGCTGGTCTCCTGCATTGGCAGGTGGATTCTTTTACCAGGGAAGAGCCACCAGGAAAGCCCACAGATTTATTATCTTACAGTTCCAGAGGTCAGAAGTTGAAAGTGGGTAGGCCCACAGGGCTGTGCTCTTTCTAGAGGTTCTAGGGGTGAATCTGTTTCTTTGCTTTCTCTAGCAGCTAGAGAGTACCTACATTCTTTGGCTTGTGGCTCCTTCTTCCATCTCCAGGGGCAATGAAATAGCATTTTCCCTTCTCTCCAACCTCCTTCCTCCCTGTCATTATATGGAGCCTCCTGGATACCAGCATAATCTCTCCATCTCAACATCCTTAGCTTATCTGCAAAGGTAACATATTCACAGGTTTCATAGAACATAGGCAGGCTATTCAGCCTATCACATTCATTTTACAGAAGATATAACAGACTCTAAAGGAGAGGAATTAAAACATAATTCACAGGGCTTGTCTGGGCTGCAGCTAGTCCCTATATTTTTGTGGCATGGGGGGTTAACGCTGTGCTGGGTGCACGGCACGGTGAGTGGAATGTGGGGAGATGACAGCCCACACTCGGGCCCTCAGCTGGACAGCCGTGTGCAGAAGAGAGCACACGGGTGTCTAGAGCACAGTTCCCTGCAGTGTACAATATACTGTGGTCCTGCAGTATTCAGTCCATGCTGCCTTCAGCCCTGAGTTGGAGTGAGACAGGATGAGACCAGGGACCTGAGACCTTTTTTGCAGTGTCAAACCTGGACAAACATCTCTTTGAGCAACAAAGTACTGAATACAAAACTATAGGGACTGAAGATAACTGTGCAGGTGTCACTGGGGCAAATTATAAACAATCAGATACAAAAAGACCTAGAACCCAACTGCCACTTTTGAGGAGCTGGGAGCAAAAGCAGGATACTCCCACTTTGGGGAGTGAACAAGGGAACCTATTACTTATTTTTGCTGCAGTATGAGTTCTAATGAAGCCTTTCCTGAATTCCCTGTCTGGTCTATCAATTTCTTTTGATTAAGGAGGCCAAGAACTCTGGTCCAGAGCACAAATACCTTCCATTCAGCTTGTATATGCCAGACTTATTTATCAATACTTCAATGACTGTTTTCCTGTTCCATCTCATAGTCTCCATAAGTGTCTACATCCAAGTTAGTGCTCCTTTTATATGTGGACTGCTTGCATCTTGTTTTACAGCACCAAAAATTGTAACCTTGTCTAAAAGGGCAAGGCATTTTGGCTTCAAATTTTTCAAATCCTCTGTGGCAATGTTACCTTTCTATACCATTGTTACAAAGGGGCTTTACTCAGGCTGGACTTCAATGAAAATTCCTTTAAACCCGCACTGTCCAGTAGAACTTTCTGTAGTTATGGTGGTGGTTTAGTCACTAAGTGGTATCCAACCCTGCAAACACATGGACTGTAGCCCGCCAGTCTCCTCTGTCTGTGGGACTTTCCAGGCAAGAACACTGGAGTAAGTTGCCATTTCCTTCTCCAGGGGATCTTCCCCACCCATGGATCAAACCTGGGTCTCCAGCACTGCAGACAGATTCTTTACCAACTGAGCTACCAGGGAAGCCCTGCAATGATGGAAAAACTTTAATCTACACTGTCCAGCATGGCAGCCACTCAACATATGTGGTTACTGAGCCCCTGAAATGTGGCTTACATTTTACATATTACTTAATTTTAATTAATTTAAATAGTCATATGTGGCTACTGTATTGGATAGCACTGATCTATATTCTTTCCCTGAGATAAAGGGAAATAAGTGTAGAGTGTAGGATAGGGTATAATCACAAAAGTTTATAAATAGGAGAAAAAAGGAAGTAGAGGTCTAAAGTTGAATAAAATGAAGAAAACTTGGGAAGGTTTAAAGATTGCCTTCCATCCAGCTAGGGACTTAATTTTCTCTTCTTTCTACCAGAGGGTAAATAGGCTGTTATCAAATATTTTAATATATTCTGGGTGCAAGTCTTTAGAAGTGTGTGCTTTTTGCTTTTACTCCTTCTTTTGTGTTCAGTATTTTTCTTGGAACTTATTTTCTCCTTTACCTTTTTCTCTTTCTCTTTCATAGAGGTGAGTTTATTCATGCTTGCTATTTAGAACATCTTCTGATTCTGTTCCCGTGTAGCAGAGGTAAGGCTTCAGTAGTGTTCTTTCTCTTGAGGTGTTAAGTGGGCTAAAGGCACCCCAGGAGCACTAGTTATAGTGGCATTTTATGTATTGTTAGCTCAAAACTGTAAGTTCAAAATTGTGCCCAGGATGGTATAGAGGACTTTTGCTTGAAAAAAGAGAAGATACAGCACTGGAAGAAAGTTTGGGATCAGGCTTCAGGTCTAGGGTGTCCATCGACAGCAAGCCTACAGTTGTTCGGACAGGAAGTTAAACGTGGCTTTTCCTGGTAGGTAAAGAGTGTGTTCTGTGACCTCTCTCGAGAGAGTGGGAGAGGCCAATGCCTGGGGGAGGTTCGAGGACTGAAGAGGGGAACTCAGGATGAGTCTGCAAAAGAGGGGCTTTATAGCAGGTAGAAAAACACTGGGGACAGGCTTCTCCTAGCTTTTGCGGGAGGGAATATAGAGTTATGCACACTTGGTGTCGAGGGCACGAAGACCTTTTGTCAGTAGACCCAGAGAGAGCTGAGCTAGGGTCAAGCTGTAGAAAGCAACGGAAGAGTGAAAGAAAAGAAAATGACAAAAAGGAACAAGACAGGGAAAATGATGGGGATAAATATTAGTGTGGAAGATGCCTCATTCCTTTTCAGCTCCATCCGCTGTGAAAAAACACAGGGGCACTCAAAGGATGGTGAGAAAAAGGAAGCAGTTTCCAGAGGCATCACGACAAGTCGTGAGGGGATACTGACAAGGGGTTGCTTCCTCTGACATCTGTAGTACAGAGCAGATAAGCAGCTGCCTACAGGAGATTACTGTGGTAGGAATCCCCACTGAAAACGTGGCGGCACACCCAATACAAAGAAGACATTGTAAGTTACAGATGAGTAAAAGGATATGATGTGCCTATGAGGAAATGCTAAGAATGAGAGCAATGAAAACTGGAATGCATTTTCAATTTTTCAGGAAATCCTTTACTCTTTTATCCACTTACCCATGATATATCACCTCCTTTGAGATCCACTAATCTAGAGGGACCTTCTCACTTTGCAGAGAAGGTTACCAAGCTCAGGAAGGAGGATGGCTTTTCTAAAAGTCATATGGTCAGATTCAGATGTGGGGCCTAAATCCTGGTCTCATATCTTATTAGGTTCCCCCCTCTCCCCCCCCATCTTAACCCGCTAACATTTTGGGAATTGAAAGAACAGTTTTATTTGGGAGTTGCTAGGAAATTCAACACAGTTTTCAAATGATCCATTCTTCTTACTGCAATCCTTGAAGAAAATGATTGTTTGAAAGATTATTAATTCAGTTTAAATGATCTCATAGCATATTAGTCCTGTTCACACCTTTCATATCTATCTGAAACCTTAATGCCCAAAACCTCACAAATATGTGAAGTAACACTTCTTTTAAAATTTAATGGATATATTTACATTTTATCCAACTAATATATGCTTGTAATTAAAAGAGAAAAGTGTGTAGAAGAGTTTTAAAGAAAAGCAATGGTCTCTTGCCTCACCATTCTATATCCAGTCCCACTCCACAAAGGCAATCATTTTGAACTTTTCAGGCTATTTAAGTTTTTATGGAGGCAGCCTCTATTTCTCTATAAAAGTCTTACATTGCTATTTCTTATTTTATCAGTTTTAAATGTTATCTATAGACTCCCTTTTATGATAGAGTCAAGACTGCAAATATTCACCACTTCCCCCAAATGAAGGTGCATCACCGTTTTAGTTAGACTGTTAGCCAACAGTAATATTTACTTTGTAATATTTACTTAGAAATTCTAGTCAGCAGAGATACTATATATCATTATTTCTTTACTCCTCACTTTATATTTTACAGGGTGAAAAAATTAATATCCCTATATTCCTTTTACTTCTTCCTTCCTCTTTTCACTTTCATCTTCTGTGCTTTTAGGTCACTAAATTTTAATAATACTTATAGTATATTGATATAATAAAGATTATGAGCTTTGTCTATAGATTCTTAAAGCTGAAATGCAAGAGTACCTATATGATTATGATTTTGTGACTATTGTTCACTTCAGAGCCAAATTATATGGTATGAGTATATTTCCCTTCTAGATTTTTTTTTTTGAATTTCTAATTGACTTTTTTTTTTTTATATTGTGACTGTCTTTGTAGCATAATGATACTGTTGAACCAAAGATATCTTTTTATCCTTACAACCCTGATCTACTGATACCTCTGTTTTGGAGCCAACTATCTTTTTTTTCCCCCTCTAATCTGAGATGATAAAGATATCACTTGGAGTCTTCCTCTCTTGTTACCCACCTAGGTTGGAGTCCCAGTTTTTTGATTGCATATATATATATTCTTGGTTTACCTTTTAAATTGTTGGAGTATGTTTTAAGGTAGTTTCCCAAGAAAGGGTATGATATGAGGGAGATAAATGTTTTGGGTCTTTACATGTCTGGAAAAAAAAAAAGTTCTTATTATTTTCTCATATTGAATTGATAAGATTGTCAGATTCTAAATTGAAAATACTTTTTGCTTTATTACTTTGGAGGGTTTATCTTTTAAAATACACGTTGATTTGCCAAGTCGGATGACAATTTGCTTCTCATTATTGAGTGAACTGCTTTTTCCCTTCAGGAAATTTTAGGCTAGTCTCTTAACACACAGTGGAGAAGGCAGTGGCGCCCCACCCCAGTACTCTTGCCTGGAGAATCCCATGGACGGAGGAGCCTGGTGGGCTGCGGTCCATGGGCTCGCGAAGAGTCGGGCACGACTGAGCGACTTCACTTTCACTTTTCACTTTCCTGCGTTGGAGAAGGCAATGGCAGCCCACTCCAGTGTTCTTGCCTGGAGAATCCCAGGGACGG